TATTATAAATTTAACCATTATTATAAATTTAACAATTACTGTAAACACCATCCCATGAGAAACGGCAGCATCACCCATCCCCCCTCCATGCCCCCACCACCTCTATTCCCCCACCACCCTTTATTCCCCTTCCTGGTATAAATTAGGCCTAATAGATTATAATTGTAATAATATTCATCATTATAAAGCCCCTCGTGAGCAGTTGGAGCATCTCCACATCACGAATTGCAGCATCACCTCTGTCCCCTGTTCCCCTCATGGATTAATTAGGCCTAAATACAAAAATGCAGTAAGTCTATCACATTAATTTGTAAATTATTATAATGATTAGAATATCATATGATATATGATATAAATGTGATATATGATATAAATATGATATAAATATCCCCCATCAACAATCCCTACCACCTCCTGGATAAACCAGCAATAATTTAATACCAAATCATGATCAATACCTTCTAAATCCCCCCCCTGCACTTTCCAATTCTCCAGCCATATTTTTTTTTCCTTTGCCCTTTTCCCCCAGGGCACCACGGGCAGGGTCAGGGTGAGTTTTATCTGGAGGTGATGGAGAAGGGCCCCAAATTGGAGATAAAGCCCCCTGGGGCCGGCCCCGGCCGCTATCGGCTCCGTGCACGGGGCTGATCCTTCACGGGGAGATATCCATGGGAAGAGCCCGGCCTGGGATGCTGCAGCCAGGCTGATAGGGGGGAGGCTGATTTGTGCTCCAAAAGCTCCTTTTCCTCCCAGACAGACCCCAGAATATGGGAATTTGGTGCAGCATCACCGAGGGGAGATGTCCCGTGGGATCGGTGTCCACCCAAAGCTCCTTTGTCCCGGCTTGGCATTCCCGGTCCCGGCTTGGCATCCCCGGTCCCATGGGCAGGGAAAGGCTGGGAGCAGCTGAGGTTGCTGGTAAAACAAACACGGGGAGGGCCCAGGGAGGAATTTGGGTGAGAAGAGCGGGCGGCTGGCCCATCAGATACCGGGATTTGCGGGATTTGCAGCCCGCTGTTCTCCGGGCGTTTCTGGCAGCGCGGCGGCACCGCCGCCGGACCCTGGGGAATCCCGGGATGCTCCAGATGCCACCAAACCACCAGGGCTGAAGGAGCAGCTGGGATGGCCTCCAGGAGCATCTTCCCCTGAGGAATACCAGCCTCTTCCTGCAGCTCTTGGCTCTGGAATTTGGGGCGGAAAAGGTGATTTAGGGCAGCGAGGAAGCGATGCCTGAGTGGAATTTTCACATTTCCAGTGTCAGGTGATGGATGAGTAGCCTGGTGATGCTTTGTGCATCCCAAAAGCTGGTTTTTGGAGCCTTGCCCATCTGCTTTTGGGTTGGTTTTCATTATTATTTTTTATTATTGTTGTTGTTATTATTATTGTGGTTTTTTAGAAGAGGATGAGGAGGAGCTGGAAGGATGGAGAAGGGATCCTCCATTATGCTGCCTGCCTGGTGGAGCTGGAATATCCCTCAGGATGCCCTGGCACAGCTGAGATGTCCCTTCTGTCCCCCTCCAGTGACACCCAGAGCCAAAGCTGAGCTTTGAGGTGCCTGAAGAGGAGGTTTGGGATGTGAGGTCACCAGACTCCAGGCTCTGTCCCTCATTCCCTGACTCCCAGAGCCCTCCTTGGACTCATCCCCTGCCCAAAGGGACTTGGAGGAATTTTTATTTTTAGGAATGAGGCTCGTGGATTCCCAGAACGGTTTGGGTTGGAAGGACCTTAAAGCTCATCTCCTTCCTCCCCCTCCATGGGCGGGGACACATTCCATTTCACCCAGGTTGCTCCCAGCCCCATCCACCCTGGCCTTGAACGCTTCCAGAGATGGGAATTGGAAGGAGTCGGATGGAGAATTTGATTTAAATTCGTATTTGAAAATAAACACTTGGACCCGACGGCAGCCGGTGAAGGCAGGTTGCCACCAGCCTGCACGTGTTCCCGATCCAGGACCTGCTTCCCACCACGGGAACTCCTCCTCCTCTTCCTCCTCCTTCTCCTCCTCCTCCTCCTCCTCCTCCCTGCTCCAGAGCTGGTGGGAAAGTCTGTGGCTGTTGCTATTTTCTATCTGTTATCAAGGCCTCTTATCACTTTGCTCTTGTCTCCGTGCCGGCTCTCCGAGCGCCCAGGGTCTCGCTCTTGGCAGCCTGGAAAAAAATCCCCCCTCTCCTCCTCCTCCTCCTCCTCGATTCCCTATATTCTTTTGCCTTTTATTTAATTTACCATCTAAGCACAAAGAATGGAGAAAAGCTTTGTTGTTCCCGCGCTGGGAGAGCCTTAATTGGAGTGCAGTGATCAAATCATTACCTGGATAACGCCGGGTTTCCCTGGGAATGCCGACCCTCGGCCCAGCCCTGCTGCCACGGGCACAGCTTTGAGTCACTGTCTTTTTATTATTATTATTATTGAGGGGAAAAATGAAGAAAAATAAGGAAAAAAAAAATAAATCCTTGCTCGTTATCAATAAAAAAAAAAAGGAGGGAGAAGAGTTAATCGTCGAAGCAGAGTATCTTGGAAGGGAGCGTTTTTTGGCTCTTCCCCTCTCTGTAAAACCAGCCTCAGTAATTCAGTTTTAAAGCATGAAAAAAGGGAGTTGATGAAATTCCACTATCAGCACTGAACCAATATGCAAAATATCTCGCCGAGAATCAAATAGCTATTATGTTTTCATTTCCATTTCAGCGTATTTGCTTAATGAAGAATAGACAGATCAGGCCAGCCGAGGGAGGCTGTGTGCGGTGATAACTGTGCAGGGCTCCCAGCAATCCCGGGCAGTGACGCTCCCTCCACTCCTGCTCCACGCTCCCTCTCCCTCACTGCCTTTTTTTTTCTCCCCTTTTTTCCCCTTTTTTTTGATTTTTTTTCCCCCAGTGGTTGGTTTAACCCGTGCAGCTGGGAGCGCTGGCGGTGCATCCCCGTGTTGGGGGCGAGTGGGGTGCTGCAGTGGGGCTGGGATGCACCCAAGGACACGGTTTTGGGGTGCTGTTGGCCACCCAGCCTCCCCATGGGCACTGGGTGCCGCCGTGGTCCCCAAACCCTTGGTTTTACAGGGTTGGATTTATCTTATTTTTATTATATTTTTATTTATGTTTATCTATTGTATTCATCCCCACCTCCCTTTGTGCTCGGGAGTGCTTTGGGGTGGGATGTGGGGTGCACCCAGGGAGTTGTGAGATGATTCCAGGGTGCTGTTGGCCACCAGTCGTCCCCAGGTTTGGAAAGGTTGAATTTGTACAGAGCATCCTCATCGTCCTCGTGGCTGGGCCTGGGTGTTTTGGGGTGGGATGTGGGTGGTCCCAGGATGCACCCAGGGGTCACAGGGACAAGATTCTGGGATTCTTGATTCCCCTGTAGGCATTGGGTGACACCACAGTGCCCAAATCCCAGCTGGATTTCGGTGGAGCATCCCCATCTCCTTCCTGACTGGGGATGGAGATTTCGGGGAGGGATGTGGGGTCACCCCAGGATGCATCCAGGGATCCCAGTGACGTGGTACTGGCATGCTGTTGGCCACCCATCATCCCTGTAGGAACGTGGTGACACCACAGGACTCAAAGCTGGATTTGTATGGAGCATCCAGTTGGATTTGTATAGGGCATCCAGTTGGATTTATATGGAGCATCCAGTTGGATTTGTATGGAGCATCCAGTTGGATTTGTATAGGGCATCCAGTTGGATTTTTATGGAGCATCCAGTTGGATTTGTATGGAGCATCCAGTTGGATTTGTATAGGGCATCCAGTTGGATTTGTATGGGGCATCCAGTTGGATTTTTATGGAGCATCCAGTTGGATTTGTATGGAGCATCCATTTAGATATATATGGGGCATCCATTTAGATTTATATGGGGCATCCCCATTTCCCTCCTGGCTGGGGATGGATATTTTGGGGTGGGATTTGGGATGCAGCCAGGGATCACGGATGGGATGCTGTTGCCCATTATCCTGTAGGATGCTGTGGTACCCAACGCCCTCCCCATCCTGCTCCTGCTTTCCACTGTTCCCTGCTGGGATGTGGGTGGTCTCGGCGCCCTTGGGGGGTGCCAGGTGCCCTCCTGGTCCCACCCATCCCATCCCTGCCCCATCCACCCCTCCCTGGGCAGGCTGGAGGTGCCAAACCCCGGCGCAGGCGAGCGTCGGGTTAACTTTATCAGAAGCCCAAGAGCCGTGAAGGCGTGAAGGAAGAAATTAGCCTAACAATGTTTCATTTACAGCGGGAGAAACGATTTGTTAGCTGGCGATTGTTTCTGAATATTATCACAGCCTTTTTAATTGTGCTGGAACTGAAATTAGCAGAATTAGAATAAATTGCCTTCCCTTCTCCGGCAGCCTCTTTATTCACGCTCATTGTTGTGTGCTTTGTATAGATTATGGGCTCTTTGTTCTGCTGCTGTAAATATACATGCCTGGAGTCACGGCGAGCAGCTGAGGTCTGCAGACGGGCCGGCCCTGCTCGGATCCCCCCCGTGATCCCCCCCGTGATCCCCCCCGTGATCCCCCCGTGATCCCCCCGTGATCCCCGGATTGTGCCTGGCTGGGGCCCGGCACCGCGGCGTCGTGTGGCTCCATCCACGTGTGCCACCATGCTGGGCTGGTTGGGGACACAGCTGCCATGGAGACGGCCCAGAGGGATGGCAGGGCTGAGGGGTGTCCCCCCCGTGTCCCCCCTGCAGTGGGTCTGTGTCACCGCTCAGAAAAAGCCGGGTGGGGATCATTTCTGGGGTCACTTTCGGGGACAGGTGACGCCACATCTGTGTGCACCAGGCTGATTCCCCACCGTGCCCCAGGCAGGGGACACCTGGAGCAAGGACATGGCCACCTCTGCAGGGGACCCCAGGGAGATGCTGCACCGCAGGGGTGGCTGGGCAGGGCTTTCCCTTCCTTCCCTGTTGGGCATTTCCTCCCAGCATCCCGATTTCCCAAGGGGGAAAAATAAAAAAAACCCCTGGCATCTTTTCCCTCTGGCTGTGCCCTCCTCAGTGCCCTGTCCGTGTTCCCACAGGTTCCCTGGCAGCGATGGAGGAAGGTGAGGACGCCCCGGTGGGGGACCAGAGCCCCTCGGAGAGGGACGGGGCCACCTCGGACTGCGAGGGCTCGGCTGAGCGCGACGCCTCCAGCCCCCCCGGCAGTGAAGGTGAGCCCTGGGCTGTCCCTGCTGTCCCCTGCCCACCGGGATGGGCGTTAGGAAGCAGCCTGGCCACCCCTCGGGGCTGGTGGGCCAGTGACAGCCCCGTGTCGCCGGGGGTTCCATCCGTCCGGGCACCCTGGGGACAGCCCAGGCTGCAAAGCCGTGTCACTTGGGGCGTAAGTCAGGGTTTAAAGTCACCTTTCACAGGGATGTAAAGTGACCTTTGGGATATACAGTGACCCTTAGGTGCAGAATGAGCCTTCCCCCGCCTTGGGGTGCAAAGTCACATCCCCTTAGGGTGCAAAGCGTCCCGTCCCAGGGATGCAGAGTGACCTCTCGGGTACAAAGTCACATCCTTTGCAGTACAAAGTTCCTCTCCCCGCCCGCGATGAAAGCCACGTCCCTTGGGGTGCAAAGTTCCCCCACCCAGGGGGACAAAGTCACGTCCCTTGGGGGGTGCCAAGTGACTCCCCCGGGGCACCAAGCAGCCCCAGAGGCCACGGGTGGTGGCCCTGGCCATGCCACGGGCGGGCTGGGGGCACGGGGCCGTCGGTGGCACCGCGCTGCCCACGCAGCCGCCAGGCTGCCGCCGTGCCCGAGCCGTGCCACACCCCAGAGGTGGCTGCGAGCTCAGGGCCGGGCTGAAACAGTCCCAGATATCCTTTAAGTTCCTTCCTGTGGAGGTGGGGGCAAATCCCAATCAGTTAATGTTTGCAGTGCCCTTCGAGATAACCGCGCCGGGGCACGGCTGCGCCGGCTCAGTGAGCCCAGCCGCGGCTCCCGGCGAGCCCCACCGCCTCGGGGGGAGAGGTGTCCCCAAAACAGGGCACCAGGGAGCCACACCTGGGGCTTGCCACCCTTGGGGCAGGGCAGGACACCCCTAGCTGGGACAGGGAAGGATCCTGGTAGTCGAGTAGGGAAGGGACAGGAAGAGCTGGGACAGTCGTGGACCCCAACATTTTGGGGAGGGAAGGGACCCTGATAGCCCCAACGGGAGCAGGAAGGGAGAGGTCACAAGGCAGGGATGGGACCCCAATAATGAGGGGCAAAGAATGGACCTCAGTAGCTGGGACGTGGAGGGGACCCCAGTATTTGGGTCAGGCCAGGGGCCCTAAAGCTGGGGCAGGGAGTGGATCCTAGTTGGAACAAGGAGGGACCCCAATTTCAGCAAAAAGACCCCAACAGCCAGGGCAGGGAAGAGATCCTCCAGCAAAGCAGGGCAGGGAGCCTGATAATTGGAACAGGGAGGGGACCTGATAAGTGGAGCAGGGAAGGGACCCCAGTATCTGAGTCAGGGAGGTCTCCCAGGCAAACTTTGCTCGGTGGTGGAGGGAATGGAGGCCTCTTATCTGATGGGGGAGCCGGGCTGGGGGCGAGGAGCCGGAGCCGGGGCGCGGAGCTGCACCTGGCACTGGCCTGCCTCGATAAAGAGGTGATAGCAGAGATAAGGCCGAGCAGCAATAACGGCCACTAAAGCTTTCAGCGCGATGGATAAAAATCGATATGCCAGGCACTTTGATTTATAGCCAAAAATAATAGGACTTTTATACCCGGCGATTGATTTATTTGATGTTAATCATTGCGCTTATCACCTGTATTAATAATCTCCAATGGCGGTGACGTCACCGCGGGGCGGCCGCGGCGGCGCCGATCGATTGGGCTCCGCGCTGCTCGATCCGCCCGGGCCGCCAAGGCAAACATGTACTTTGGGCACTAATCTGCCACACTGTCATATGCAGATTGGCTTTATCAGCCCATCTCCAGCAGCAGTTAATGGAGAAAATAATTGTTATCGAGTTGCTATGAATACGCCGCAAGTGGAGCCGTGAGGGGAGCGGGGCCGAGCTGGCGCGGCGTGCCAAGGGTGTGCCGGGGCTTTGGGGTGGAGGGGCATTCCCGGGGGGATGTGAATGCCCTCCTGGTGCCCATCCCAGCCCTGGGTGTCGCTGGTGGCTGTCCCTGTGGAATGCTGCCTCTGGAATTCCCTGCTCCTGACCTGCTGCCTTCCCCCTCCTGCTGCAGAGTCCAGAGACGCTCCGGAGAGTCCGAAGGAGCCGGAGAAGCCGGATCCTGGAGAGAACCCCCAGGAGCCAGACCCCTGGAATGGGCCAGGTGAGTCTCTGGTGTGGGATCGCTCATCCCACTCCAGCTGCTGGAGCAGCCCTCCGGCCTTCGCCTCCTCTTGCAAACACCAGTATGAGGAGGACTGGGAGCACTGGGAGCTGGGCAGGCTGCAAACCCCAGAACCTCCTGCAGGAGAAAGGTGTGAGGTGGTGGTTGTCATCCCTGACGTCTCCAGGGTGATTTTTGGGATGGTAAAACCATGGATTTGGGAGCAGCAGCTGGCATCACGCTCCCTGGCACTGGCAGGGGTTGGGCCCGTCCTGTGTCACACCAGGGCACTTCACCAACATCCTGGCAACCACAAGGGCGACGCTGGGGTGGTTTGGTGATGGTTATCAAAACCCCAAGGAGCGATTTCAGCCTCTATCTCCCCCTGGTATCTCCATGCCAGGGCTGCGGGCACCAGGGCAGCGGCGAGGCCGGGCTGGCCCTGTGGGCACCCCCAGCCCTATCACCCACTGTCTGCAAAGCCACGGGGCTACAGACGTGTGCCACATGGATTCACAGAATCACGGGATGGCTGGGCTTGGGAGGGAGCTCTGGAGATCACCCAGCCCAAGGCAGGGACACCTGGAGCAGGTGACACAGGGACACATCCAGGTGGGTTTGGGATGGCTCCAGAGAGGGAGGCTCCAAAACCTCCCTGGGCAGCTGTGCCAGCGCTCTGCCACCCTCCAAGGGGAGCTCTCCCTCATGTTGAGGTGGAACTTCCCGTGGTTTGGTTCGTGGCCGTCGCTCCTCGGTCGGGGCTGTGGGTTGTTCCGCTGGGCACGGCTGCTGGCAGGGGGATGGGGATGGCACCGGGGGGACCTGACACCACCCAGGGTGATGCCCGTGCCACATCTCAGGCCCTGTTGGTGCTGCCCACACCCTGCTCCTCCCAGGGGAGCTCCCAGCTTTGCCTGGGCGTGACCCCGCCGCAGGACAGCGGTGGCCCTTTGGGGATGGACACCCCGGGCAGGTGCCACCGTGTCCCCAAGGCCACGGGGCTGGGGGTGCTGCGGGAGCCCTGGGAAGGAGCACACGCGCTCCTGCAGCTGCCCGAATCCCCACGGCCCCGCAGGAACCCCGCTCCCCTTCCCGCCGGGAAGCTCCCGCTGATATCCCGGCCCTTCCTGCGTGCCGGGCAGGAAGGAGCTGCGAGGCCACCCCTGGCTCCTCCTTATCTGCTCCCAGCCCTTTGCCCCCAGACGCTGCCAGGGCAGGGTGGGAGCACCAGGGGGGTGCAACTCCAACCCCACAGATCCCCCCCGTCATTCCCCGTGGGGTCACCACACCTCGCTCATCCCGAGCCGGGCATCCCGGCTGACTCCATACCTCCCCTTCCCCCTCCCGTTTTGGGGAGCGGGTTATTTGCATTCTTTAGGTAAAAGAGATTTTATTATCGGGCCCGGCAGCCCCATCTCTGGCGGCAATCGGAGCGCCGTGGATTTCGGCGCGCGGTGCCGCGCCAACCGCCGCCAGCGCCCGGCTATCAGGAGCTCTGCAGGCCCGGCGCTTATCAGGGATGGAGCTGGCCAAAAGGGAAGCTCGGGGCAGCCGGAATTTTCCGCTTTATCTGGCAGGATCCGCCGGGCGCCGGCCGCGAGGATGCGCCGCGCCCGCGGGGGCTTCGCTCGCGCCCCGCGCGGCCTCCCCGTCCCCTCCTGGGAGTTTTGGGGGGGGTCCCCGCGCTGGGTTGGTGGTCCCAAAGGTCATCCCGCTGTCCTGAGGGGATGTGGCCTGCCAGGACCTCGTCCTGGGCCTGCCTGGCAGCCCGTGGCAGGAAGATTTTGGTTTGTTCCCTGCAGGGGTGAGGTCCCGGGAGCTGGAGGCTGAAATCCCAAATTTGGGAGTCTTTCTGGATGTGCCAAGCCTTCATCCAGGCTGCTGGGACACCCTGGCTGTGTTCTGCTTGCCAGTGGGATCAGGGGATGGAGCATGGCCGTGCTTTGTGCTCCCTCCATCCTGGAGACAGGATGCCCATCCTTCCCAAATTCCCCCAAACCTCTCCCCACAGCCCCTCCATCCGTGCCTTTCCCACTCCTTTTGCTTTGCCCTGGAGATGGGTGGGTAGCAGAGAATTTTGGGAGCACCCCACAGCCTCCAACTCCCATCCCTGCCCGGCCAACCTCAGCAATTCCAGCCAGTTTTCCCAGAAGGATAAGAGGAAAAACTCTGGGAAATTCCACCTGGGGCAGGAATGCAGCAGAGGAGAGCCCTGCTCAGGGACAGGCTGCTCAACCTCATGGTGAGCCACCAGAGAATTCCCACGGGGAGCTGCTGGGAGGCTGGAAAAATCCTGGATTCTTCCCTTTCCTCCAGGTGGGATGGAGCTTTTTGCTTTTGCCCTTGTGGGAACGCCACTGGCATTGGAGGAGCTGTGACCAAACCCAGGGTGGCTTTTGCATTATCCCACCCAACCCTGTCCCACCTGGGAATTCCCAGGGAATTCTTCACCCCCTTCCCTACATCAGCATCACTGTTTGCAGCTCCACCTTGCTGAGCCCCAAGCCCTGCTGCTGTCTTGCCTGTTTGGGCTTTATTCAATCATTAATTACTAATTATTAGATATTCATTTAATAATAATATTTCCTCTGGGTTGATTACAGGGCTCAGGCTCCTCTCCTGATCCCCCAAACCCCTCACCCCCCATCCTCCATATCAGGATGGCACAGAGCAATTCCTCTTTTTTTTGGTGCATCTAATTAAAACTCCCAAGTTTTTTTGGGGTTTTTTTTCCCCCCCTTTTTCCTCCCAGCTCCCCCTTCCCTTCGGTTGTGTTTATCTCCTGCTTCAATAATCTCTGGCTGCCCAGGGTTTGTCTGGAAACCTCAAGGTTCATTATCGGGGCGAGCAGGGCACAATGGGGGGGACGGCTCGTCCGGGGAGGGGACACGGCCCTCCCCCTCCACCCTGCCGTGTGTGGGTGGGAAGAATTATCCCAGCTCTTCCCTTTTATCGCTGGGAGCGGGGCAGCAGAGAGTTGTGTCTGTGGGAGATTGCTGGGGGATGGGGGGACGTGGCATTCGGGGAGTTGGCACCCCCAGAGTCCCAAATCAGGGGGTGCCCAGCACCCCGAAGTCCTCCCCCTGCCCCAGGTGTGCCCAGCAGATCCTCCTGCCAGAGGGGTGGGGATGGTCCCAGCGGGGATGGTGGCACCTGTCCCGGATTTGTCCCTGCTGGGGGTGTCCTGCTGGGCCTGGGGGCACTGCGGGGTGGAGGGGACACTTTGGGGACACTGGTACAGTGAAGGGATGCTCCGACTGCTCTGGGGACGTTGCTGAGAGGATGGATGGCCAGAGCGGTGTGGGGACAGTGGCAGGGTGGAGGGACGCTCAGGGATTTTGGGGACAGTGGCAGGGTGGAGGGATGCTCAGGGATTTTGGGGACAGTGGCAGGGTGGAGGGATGCTCAGAGATTTTGGAAACAGTGTGGAGGGATGCTCAGGGATTTTGGAAACAGTGTGGAGGGATGCTCAGGGATTTTGGAAACAGTGTGGAAGGATGCTCAGGGATTTTGGGGACAGTGGCAGGGTGGAGGGTTGCTCAGAGATTTTGGAAACAGTGTGGAGGGATGCTCAGGGTGTTTGGAAACAGTGTGAAGGGATACTCAGGGTGTTGGGGGCAGTGACAGTGTGGAGAAATGCTCAGGATCTTTGGGGACAGTGTGGAGGGATGCTCAGGGTGTTTGGGGACATTTTTGAGGGATGCTCAGGGATTTTGGGGACATTGGGGAGGGATGCTCAGGGATTTTGGGAACAGTGACAGTGTGAAGGTATGCTCGGAATCTTGGGGACATTGTGGAGGTATGCTCAGGGATTTTGGAAACAGTGTGAAGGGATCCTCAGGGATTTTGGGGACAGTGATAGGGTGGAGGGATGCTCAGGGATTTTGGGGACATTGGGGAGGGATGCTCAGAATCTTGGGGACAATGTTGGAGGGATGCTCAGGGATTTTGGGGACAGTGACAAGGTGAAGGGATGCTCAGGGATTTTGGGGACAGTGGCAGTGTGGAGGGAGGGTTGCCCAGGCATCTGTTCCCATTTTCCCTGGCATTTCCCACTGTGCACTCTCGTGCCAGCCCTGAGGGCGATGCCTCCAGGCTGCTGCTGATTGACAGCTGTCCATCACTCCCCTTGCTGCTCTGCCTGGCTGGATCTGAGGACCAGTGAGGATTTGGGGCTTGGACCCCCCCTCCTCCATCTGGGTACCCCCTCCCAGGGGTTCTCCCACCCCCCCACGGGCACTTGGGGCTGTGGCAGGGACCCCCCCTCCCCTTTTCCGGGTGGGATATCTTCCCTCTGCATCGCCCCGGGGCCCCTGCATTCCCCTTCCTGCCCCCCTGTGCCCTCTTCCCGCTGCCCGGGCACAGCCAGGGGTCCCAGCAGCCCTGGCAGAGGGGACAGGGTGTGCCTGGCACGGGGTCCCACCACCCTGGCAGGAAGTTTTCCTCCTTCCCGTCCTTCCCGAGCGCTTTCTGGTGTTTTTTTCCCCAGTGTTTGTTCCTGTCCCCTGCCCTGTGCTCACAGGTCCCCTGTGTTCCCTGGATGTCCCTCGTGGGGAGGAGCCCTGGGAGCAGGAGCTGCCTTGGGATGGGGATGGGAGCCCCCTGGGATGGGCTCCATGAGTGGGCACAGGGCAGGGACAGGGCACCCCTGGCACAGAGGGCCTGGCAGCCCCAGGGAAGCCAGGAAGTTTTCCTGCTTCCCATCCTCCCTGAGCCTTTCCTGGTCTTATTCCCAACGTTTCCATCCACATCCCTGCAGGATCCCAGCTCTTCCCTAGGCTGGGAACCCCTTGTCAGGCGGGATGGGCACCCCTTGGGATGGGTGCTCTCAGGAGACAGGGACCCTTCCAGCCCCATCCCAGCAAGGCACAGCAACACCCCGAAGGTGGAAATCCCTTATCAGCCCATCCCGCAGGGGCAGGGCACCCCAGCTTCCCTGGGCTGATCCCGGGGAGCACAGGGCACGGCCGGTGCCACCCCGCCGCCGGCGCCTGCCAGCTGTGCCCCACAGCTGGCGAGCAGGAGCCTTTTGGGGTGCAGCCCCCCTTGTCCAGCCCCGCCAGGGGCCGGGTGGTGCCCACGGGGCAGGGCCTGGCTGCTCCATTATCCGGGGGCAGGGTTCAGCCCGATAAGGAGTCGCTTTTGGACTCGGGCAGCAAACAATCAATAAGTGGCAAGCGATGGGCAGCTGAGATAAAGGCAGAAATCCCCCCCTGGCTCCTGCCCCACCGGGGCGTCCCCAGAGCACCCCAAACCTGCCACGGCCATCCCCTCTGCACCCTCAGAGCAAGGCCAGGCTGAGCCCAAGCAAGGCTGGATTGAAACCCTCCTCCCTCCTTTGTCGCCCCCAAGGCTGCCCTGATTACTCGAGCACCCGGGACGGCAAAGCCGGGATAATCTCCTTAGCCCCTTTGGAGAGATTTCCCTTTGTGAGCCGAGGTGAAGAGTGGAGATGCTGCGTGTTCACAGCTTAAGACTCTTCCCAATCGGCTCCCTCCATCTTATCAGAGCGGTGCCATCACATCATTGCAGTAGTTGAGTTGTCAGGATTTCTTCCTTCCGCCGCGCTCTCGCCGCTGCTAAAAACAGCAGCTGGGGCTGGGACGGGGGGAACTGGGGGGAACTGGGGCTTCTCCAGCTCGGATTTCCCCAGGCAGGAGCAGGGGAGCCGTGGGAGGTTGGGTACCCATTGATGGATCCATCCATCCCTCCATCCATCCCACTGCCAGGCCAGCTCCTGCAGCCCCTCCGCGTGTGCTGCTGGGTGTTCCAGGGGTGCAGCCACATCCAGGCACCCCCATTTGCTCTCCTTGCAGGAGGGAAGGGCAGAGGGGCACCCTGGACAAGCCCACCCATCCCATTCCAAGCTGCTCCCGCATCCCTTGGCCTCAAAACTGCATCCACAGGATGGGAATGGCATCCCAACAAATTGTTCAGCTCCTTAGCAAGAATCTGGAGGTCCATGCACCCATCCATCCCCATTTCCCAGTGTCTCCATCAGCAGGGCTGGGTCTGGCGTGCCCCCCAGGCTGGCACGGGGCGCTGGATTTAATCGGAGCAGGGCGGCTGATCCCGGGATGCGATCCCATGACACGCTGGTGGCAGTGTTTGTCCTGACTGTATCCAGGCAGCTGCAAACACTGCAGGGACCTCCCAGCCCGGCTGCCCCCTGAGGGGCAGAGCAGCTGGTTTGGATGTGGTTTGATCCGAGGGATGCAGGAACAGCTTGGAGTGGGAGTGGGAGTGGGATGAGGGATGAGTGGGTTTGTCTGGGGAGCCTCTGCCCTTCCCTCCTGCTCACTCCCACAGGGACAGCCAATGGAGGTGCCTGCATGTGGCTGCATCTCCAGAGCTTCCAGTGCTGCTCCTGGCAGTGCCATTCCTCTCCCTGGCCCTGGGAATGCTGTGGTCACCGTGCCCGTTCATCTCCATCACTGGAGGAAGGCTCGGGGATGCCTCCCTGGAATTGTGCATCCCTTCCTCCCTCCCCTGTGCCCGCCCTGGCCCCTCGGGATGGGCAGGAATGTGGTGCCAGCCCTGCCTGCTTGGCCATGGGGTGGTGACAGGATCAATCTTTGCTCCTGGCACAGCTCAGCCGATTCCCTTGGAATCTCTGGGTGGGAAGATAAGCTGGGAGCAGCCCCGTGTTCCTGTGTCACACCAGGCAGGTGCAGCTGCCTCTCGGGGGGGCTTTTCCTTCCTTCCTCCCTTCCTCCTTCCTTTCCTCCTTCCTGTCCTCCCTCCCTGCTGCTTTTCTCCGTGCCCCAGAGCAAACAGGCCGGTCCCTGCCCAATTTGGTTAACGAGCTGGGAGATAAGCCCTGCTCCCTGATAACGAGGGACCGATGGCCAGGTGAGATACCTGGGGGGTGTTCACCTGCCAGGGGATCCCACAGGGAGCTGCAGCTCACGGACTTTGCTCCAGGACACCCCAGGGGCTGCCAGCAGCTGGTCCCAAGCTGGGATGTGCCTGGATCCGTGCTGGGATCGCTCCCCACGAGGGCACACAGCTTGCTGCCTCTGGGCTTTGTTCCCAGTGTGGAGCACGCAGCATCTCCCAGGCCTCCCCATCGTTTTTTTCCCTGCTCCCACTCAGCAGTGCTGTGTGTTTAGCTGGGAAAAAAATCTCCTTTTCCCTCCTGTTTTTCCCTCGCTGCGTTAGCGTGGCTGAGGCACAGGGGCTCTGGCCAGCCAGGGATGCTCATCCCGCTGGAGGAGCTCTCAGCACCACAGAGCAGGGGTTCAGCCCTGTCCGTGGGGCTCCAGCACCCCACTTTTGGGTGGCTGGAGGCCACGGGGCGCTGGCAGGAACTCTGGCAGCACTATTTTTGTCCCCCTGTCTGGAACGGTTTTCTCTTTATCAGCGCCTGCGTGTTTTCTCTGCTGGGGATTGATACACACAAGATGAAGTGCTCTGACATGGGAAGTGTCAGGCGAGTGCTCTTATCTCAGAGACATGGTCTCCTGACCCAAACGCTGCTGATTACCAGTGAGACGGGCAGGGGGGGCTCCGCCGGGGGGGCACCCGCAGGGGGACGTGGCCGTTGGGCTCCGCTCCCCAAAACCAGCCAGGATGGTCGGCGTGGCAGAGCAGAGGGCAGCCAGCACTGCTGGGGCTCTGCTGGGGCTTTGGGGGTGATGCTGAGGCTGGTGGAGGGGGGGAAAGTCCAGCAGGCCAGCAGCACTTGGGGAATCAGATGGGAGGTGCTGGAAATGTGGGATAATGTGAGGGTCCGACTGCCCCGCTCAGCCCTGAGGTCACTCTGGTGGTCACTCTGCTCCCCGGCTGTCCCCCGTGCTTCACAGACCCTTCCTCAGGCTCCGTTTGTGCCAGGGGCTAAATCCCAAATGCTCCTCACCCTCTTCCTCCTCCCCGTGCTGAGGTGGGGCTGGTGAGGGCATGGGCAGGAGCTGCCAGGAATGTGGGGGATGTGGGGTGGGAGGATGCCAGGGATGCAGGGCAGGCACAGCCCGTGCCGTGCTCATTCCCAAAATCCCTTTGCAGGGATGAGATCCCAGCTGGAAACGGAGCCGGGGTGGCTTTGGGAGCACTCCGGTAGGGAGGGCAGGACAGGGAAACTGAGGCAGAGCCCGTCACCAGCACTGCTGGGGGCTGTGGCACAGGGCTGGAGGGTGGCAGGGACCAGCCTGGTGACCCCAAACCCCTCGGGGAGCCTGGGCAGCTCCCGGTGGGCAGCGAGTTCTGGCGAGGTGGCACCGACAGCTCCTTGGGGAATGTGCCCCGAGCATCACCCGGTGGGCTGGGGTGGGCACAGGGGACCCGCGGGTGCCAGTGGCACCTGGGCCACGGCAGTGCCACCTCCCAGTGGCTCACCTCAGCTCACCCCGGCGCCGGGAGGATCCAGATGTCAGCCCTGCTAATAAACACATCAGATTTCCATCTCCGCAGCCATGGGATCGCTGCATCCTCCCCGCGCTCCCGGCTCCGGAGGCAATTCTGCCTTCAGCCAGCGCAGCCTCCCCCTGCCCGCGGTCCCGGGGGGCTCCAGGGGGTTCCAGGGGGTTCCTTGGCCCGCAGAGCCGGGCTGGGGATCACCCCACACCCAGCCCGGCTCGGGCTCGCTGTCCCCGCAGAGCAGCTCGGTTTTTTGGGGGGCGGCAGCGAGGGGCAAGGCAGCGCATCCATCTGGGTATTGGTTACCTGCCACCTTATCTGCGCTCCCAAAGACAAAGGCACAGTTAAAACATTTTTTCGAGCAGCCTTCATAGCGTATTCACGTGTTATCTAACCCATTAAAGCAGAGCCTTATCAGATCATCGAAGCCATTAAGCCCTGAAGCTGCTGCGGGGATGGGAAGCGCTCCTTCCGCTCCGGGACCCCCGGGAAGGGGCTGGGTCCCCCCCGGGAAGGGGCTGGATCCCCCTCGGGACCCCCGGGAAGGGGCTGGATCCCCCCCGGGAAGGGGCTGGATCCCCCTCGGGACCCCCGGGNTGGATCCCCCTCGGGACCCCCGGGAAGGGGCTGGATCCCCCCCGGGAAGGGGCTGGATCCCCCTCGGGACCCCCGGGAAGGGGCTGGATCCCCCCTCCCCCCCCCCAGGAAAGGGCTGGATCCCTCTCAGGATCCCCGGGAAGGGGCTGGATCCCCCTCGGGAAAGGGCTGGATGCCCCTCAGGACCCCCAGGAAGGGGCTGGATGCCCCTCAGGACCCCCGGGAAGGGGCTGGATCCCCCCTCGGGACCCCCGGGAAGGGGCTGGATCCCCTCGGGACAGGGCTGGATCCCTCTCAGGACCCCCAGGAAGGGGCTGGATCCCCTCAGGACCCCCGGGAAGGGGCTGGGTCCCCCCGGGAAGGGTCTGGATCCCCTCGGGACCCCCAGCAGCAGCTCCCGGCTCCAGCCGGGTGTTGGTGCCCCCCAGGATTTGGGGTGCGGCCGGCCGGGGGGGTTTGGGGGCACACCCCACTGATGCTGTGCGTGTCTCCCCGCAGATGAGCTGGCTCTGGAGGTGCAGGATGGGCAGAGAAGGGTCCGGACCCGGCGGAGCCTCCCCGAGGGCTTCTCCTGGGGCCCCTTCCCGGGCAGCATCCACAGCGAGCCGGCATCGCCGGGGCACGGCCACACGGTAAGGAGGAAACAAATCCTTTGGGAAGAGGGAATCTCCTGGTTTCAGTGCCCAGGAGGATTCCCTGCCAGCCCAGAGCGTTCCCACAGGCAGGACAGGACAGGACAGGCCAGGAGCTTGCTGTCCCCTCTGCACTGGCTGCTTGGTGGCACCTGTCTCCTCCCGGAGGAGATGGGATCTGGCTTTCCCAGCCCACATTTGCTCCCTGGGGACTCTGGTGGTGCCTGGAAAGCACATCAGCCATGGGGAAGGGGCAGGAGAGGAGCCCTGAGGGGACAGCGGGGGCTGCTGGCTGTCGGTGGCCATTGGTGGCATCACGGGGGAGCAGCAGAGGGAGGTGTCCATCAGTGAGACTCGGGGTGATTTTAGGCTCTGGATCCTCCATCCCAGCCACGTCCTTCCCTCCACACCCCCCCAGAGCCACACACAGGCAGCTCCAGCCCAGGATCCTCAAGCCCTGGCTCCATCCCCACCTCTTCCTCCTCCTCCTCCTCCTCTCTCCTTTGCTCATTTTTTTTTCTTTTTTTTTTTTTTTTTAAGCTCAGGCCCGTTTATCTTTGCTGAATTAAATCCTTGATTAACCCTTATCTGCCCAGTTTGGCTCCCCTATCTCCCGCTTGGCGCCGTGTGTCCAGACACCCGGTACAGGATGATTGATTTCCCCAAGATACGCGCAGCTTTTTTTTTCCTGATACTTCATTTATTGTCTAAATATTTTTGCTCCCATTTCAGCAGCTCCCTTATCGAGCCTGGCTGATGATTCCCAGCCCTGCTCTCCTCTGCCACTCTCCTCCCTCCCTATCTCTGCTCGGGGAAGGGAGGAAGGAATTGCAGCCCCATCCCTGATAGGGGCTGTCACCCTCAGGTCCTTTCCTCTTTGCTGTTGGCAGTGCTGGGAGGGGTGCAGGGGGTCTCCCCCAAATCCTGCCCGGCTCTGCTCTTCATCTCCACGTGGGAGATGATCCCAATTTGGGGTTTTGATGGGAGCTGGAGCGCTGGGTGGGTTTGATATTCCGTGGTGGGGAGCACCATGAAGTGCTGAGGGAGAAGGAGAAGGAACAGGAGGGAAAAGAGAAGGAGGAGGAGGAGGAGAAAACAAGGAACAGGGGGGAAAAGAGGAGGAGGAGGAGGAGAAAACAAGGAACAGGGGGGAAAAGAGGAGGAGGAGGAGGAGAAAAGAAGGAACAGGGGGGAAAAGAGGAGGAGGAGGAGGAGAAAAGAAGGAACAGGAGGGAAAAGAGGAGGAGGAGGAGGAGAAAAGAAGGAACAGGAGGGAAAAGAGAAGGAGGAGGAGGAAGAGAAAAGAAGGAACAGGGGGGAAAAGAGGAGGAGGAGGAGGAGAAAAGAAGGAACAGGAGGGAAAAGAGGAGGAGGAGGAAGATGCCTACACAATCCCACAGTGTTCCCCAAAAAGATCCTTGCTGGGGAGGGGGTGGAAAGGCTCTGGCAGGCAGCTGAGAGTGCCAGGGGAGGTGAAGCTCCCGTGGGAGCGTGCCCGAGCCCAGGGGTGCCCGTGCCCCCCGGTGGGTGCGGGGCAGGTCGGGTTTTGGTGGCTCCCGATGGTCATCGAGGCACAGCCGCCGCTTTGTTCCGCAGAACAAGGGAGGCTTCACGCCAGGCTGGGCACCCCGGGGTGCTGCGGGCACCTTGGGGTCATGGGGAGCCGGGCTGGGCACCCCGGGGTGCCGCAGGGCCCTGCAGTGCAGGCAGCCCCCCCATTCCTTGGGATTCCCAAGGGATGCTCCTGTGCCCGGCTGGCAGCAGCAGGGCCCGGCCCTGGGGGTGCCAAAGCCCCCCGTGCCCAGGGAGGGGGTCCTGCCACCACCGTGAGAGGGGCACATGGCTGTGCCGGCGTGTCACTGACACACACGTGTGTCAGTGTGTCACGCTGTGTGCCAGTGTGTCACACACATGTGCCAGTGTGTCACTGTCACACGTGTGTCAGTGTGTCACGCTGTGCGTCACTGTCACACTGTGTGTCACACCCGTGTGCCAGTGTGTCACACTGTGTGTCACTGTCACACGTGTGCCAGTGTGTCACACCCGTGTGCCAGTGTCACACACGTGTACCAGGCTCACACCTGTGTGCCAGTGTCACACACATGTGCCAGTGTGTCACACCTGAGTGTCAGACCTGTGCCAGTGTGTGACACCCATGTGCCAGTGTCACACACATGTGCTAGTATGTCAAACATAGATGCCAGTGTCACACACATGTGCCAGTGTGTCACACCTGGGCCGTGTCCCATCCCTGAGCCGTGTCACACCCCTGTGCCAGTGTCCCACCCCTGTGCCGTGTCCCATCCATGTGCCATGTCCCACCCTGTGCCATGTCCCACCCCTGTGCCATGTCCCACCCGTGTGCCGTGTCCCACCCTGTGCCAGTGTCCCACCCCTGTGCCGTGTCCCATCCGTGTGCCATGTCCCACCC